GGGGGGCGGGACAGGCTCGCTCTCTTCCTACTCAGCAGGCTCCCGGGTAAAAGCACCAGTGTCCTCGCGAGCCTGAGGCCGCCGCGGCCCAGCCGGGCTAAGGGACCAGTGTCTCCGCCAGTCCACTCAAGGTAAGGGTGCCCCTTCCCACTGCGCCTTGGGGCTCGGTTCGCTGCGTGGCTGGGGCTGCAGGATTGAAAGTTTCCAGGGCCGGACTTGATCGGCTCTGGGAGGGAGAGTTGGGAAGAAACTATGGGGGAGGAGGGGCCACCCCAGGTGAGTGCGTGCTTGCCAAAGGGGCTTTGTGGGCCGCTTTCCTGAGAGCTACTTTGCTTTTGCGTTCTGGAGTCGCTGCCAGCACCACCGCCAGAGGGGGCCCTCCCCGAGGAGTGACCCCGAGTTCTCCTGTGGCACCCCGACAGCCAGACCTACACTCGCAGGGTGTTTTGGGTGGGGTGTGCGCGCGCGTCCTCGTCTTCAGCATCCCTCATGGCCCTTCTCCACCAACAGCAGCATCACAGAAGGGGGTATCCCCTGGATGTCTCCGCTCTTGTTCCCGCTCCAGCAGCCTTGATGAGATGTGGAGTGCGGGGGTGGGGGGAGTCAGGGAGAGATCTTTGGGGTGTCCTCCTGGGCACTCTCCTCCAGGACTTCCTGGTCTTCAGGAATCCGGGAAGCCTCAAGGGGCATCTGGGATGACTGAGTCGGAGGCGCTCGCTCCGCCTTCGTGGTCTGGATCCAAATGCCCAGCGGAGTTCCCCCAGCCCAGGCTGAGCCAAGTCACCAGGCTCCCCAGGGATGGGGAAGTGCTGGGAGGCTGGGTGGGGCGGGTGCGAAGTTGCCCGGGCGCCGAGGACGCTTCCGCGGAGGCGGGCTCAGCGAGGACTTTGCTGGCGACCCCTCGGCCCGGCCGGGGACCCGGGGAGCCGGGGTGGGGCGGCATTCTGGGCCCGTTAGCTCAGCGGTCCTGGAGGCTCCGGGGCTGACTCATCGCACCGCGGGCTCACCCCACAGCCGTCGCACAAACAACTGCCTCCATCGTCTCGAGCATCCACATTGCACCCACGCACCGCATCCCACGCCTCACCTCCTCGTATCCCCGCCATACGTCACACACATAAAGCCTAGTGTCATATGCGCCTCGACCCACTACACATAAACCACGCCACGCGCTCCACGCGCAGGAAACCGTACCCCTCCCGGGCAGCTCCGCTCACACGCGCTTCCCCTGGACACGCGCATCCCCTGCACACTCGCATCTCCTGCACACGCCAGCCCCCTTTCCGCAGCTGTGAGGCCGCCCCTTTCCCCCGCAGTGCAAACAAGCGGCTTCTTCTCCCTGCCCGACTGAAGAAAGGCAGCTTGTCCCGAAGTCCCTGCGGGCGGGGCGGCCGCTGCAGGCGACCCAACACTGCAGCCTTGTCCCACGCTGTGGCCGGGCGCGGGTGGTGGTGGTGGTGAGCAGGCCGGGGGCGGGGGGCGGAGTCAGCGGCCTCTGGTGTGTGCAAATCCCAGGAATCCTGCGGGTTTCTTAGAAATGCACCTTTCCAGTGCAACCCCCCCCCAATAAAAACACACCCCCAAGCTAGACTGGAATTCTCTCCTCCTGGCTTTGTCCTCTGTCCCCTGGCTCTCTCTTTCCTCTTTTCACCGTGGCCACCCACGGTTTTCCTCTCCAAGGTGCTCAGAACCTCGTGTTTTCTGTCACCCCTAATACTTGGGGACGCCACCTTTAGTCTCCCCGTACTTTGCGGGGAGCAGGTCTCCCCCGCAGTCCCCTCCGCGCTCAGCTGTGTCCTCCCAAGCTTTGTTATTTTTGAGACAGGGTCTTATGTAGGCCAGGCTGGCCTTGGACTCCTGATATTCCTGTCTCCACATCCGGAGTACTGGAGTGACCACCCCGCCCGGCTCTCCTCCCCAGCCTTCAGGCTTCCTCATCTCCAGTCCCCCGATTTCACTTTCCAGGTTTCTGAAGACCCCCTTTTCCTTCTGCCTATTTTTCTCATCTTCAAGTTCTCCCGACGCCCGGCCCTTAGACTCCCTGCCCCGCCTCGCTTGGGCAACCTGCCCGCTGGGTTCCCAGCCTCAGTTTCCTTCCCGTCCCGATTCCTTCCTCTGACGGTGGCCCTTCCTCAAGGGCGGATGCGAGCTGGGAAGGCGAAGGATCCCAGCTCGGCCCTAAAGTCCCCCGGCCACAGTTATGCGCCGCTCATCGCCGGGCCTCGGCTGGGCCCCTGGAACCCAGGTAAGGGCTGGAGCGACCTGCAGGGGCACCGCGGGGGACCCGGCCTTGTGCCCTAGGGCTGCCTTGGGACCTCCTTCGTTGCCTGTTGCCGCCAGAGCTTCCAGGCCTCCCTTCATCTTTATTCGGGTGCCGAGACCCTGCAAGGGGATACTCTGGGAGCCCCACTTGACGGAGACAGTGTTGTCTGGATGCTGGGAGCATCCTGGTGGGCGAGGGGGCCGAAGTGGCCGGGCCAGGGTTGCCTGAGGAAGTGCCAGCCTGGTTGTGTCTAGGCACCTTTCCTAAGCACACCCAGGCCTCTGCCACCTTGCTCTCGAGGAGGCGCTTGGGCGTCTGCGTCTGGGTGTTGGAGGGCTGCGGAGAGCCAGGCCCGCTTCTTACCCGGAGCCTCAGGGCCTGTTTTTGGCATCTGGGCGGGGCTGGGTTTCCCAAAAGGGCGGCGCGGAGTGGGTAATTACAGCCCTGGAAATGGGTGGCAGGCAGGTAGGATAGAAGTGGGCCAGCCAGTCGGGGGCACCGGAGACTGCACCTCTGGACCTGAGATTGGGGTCAGAGAGAACTGGGATCGGAGGGCTCCCAGGGCCGCAGTGATGTCCCTCTGTCAAAGTACCGCTCGGGCTCTGGGCAGGTTAGGCTGGTGTGTTTTTTTTTTTTTTTTTTCCCCTCTGTGGATTAGGTTTCTGAGCTGAGGCCACAGCCTTGCACCTTCCAATCGCTATATCTATCGTTTCTTATCGGCTTCCCACACCTCTTCTCCTTATCTCTCCCTGTCCTTTACCTCCTTATTCCCTCTCTCCTCTCCAATCACTCTTATTCCCCATCAACCTTACTCCTTTACAATCTTTATCTCCACTTGAAGTATTCAGAGCAAATAAACGAATGCACCCAAAGGCTTCACGGGATGATAGTGACAAATACTCCAGTGTGGCTGATGAAGAAACTGAGACCCAGACCTTGCTCAAGGTTACATAGCTTATAATAGCTGCCATTTTAATATTGCTTTGCAGTTCATGGAGTGTGATTTAGCATGCTCTCTGGATCCTCAGATAAAAAACAATTTTTTTTGAAACATGGTCTCACTGCGTAGCCCTGGATGCCTGGAACGATGGAGAACAGGCTGGCTTCAAACTCACAAGAGATTAAAGGCATGCTCCACCAGGCCTGGCCTCAGATGATTTTTTTTTTTTAATTCAAAGCTTTATCAAGGAAAAAATCTATGTAGCATAAAATCAACCACATTTAAGTGTGCCATTTTTTAGTGTATTTACAGAATTGTGTACATTACATTTTAGTACATTACAAATAAACCATCATTACAACTTAATTTGAGAACATTCCTATCGCAGGCTGAGGAAATGGCTTAGTGGGTAAGAATGGTTGCTGCTCAAGCATAAGGATCTGAGTTCAAGTCCCCAGCACCCATGTAAAAAGCCAGCTGTAACTCCAGTGCTGGGGTTGGGGGCAAGGACAGGAAGATTGCTGGGGCTTGCTGGCCACTAGCCTAGTTTATGTTTAGTGAGAAACTCTGGCTCAAGGGAGTAAGACAAAGTATTATAGAGCAGGACACCAGATGTCTGCCTCTGGCTTCCACACAGGTGCATCTGGACACATACGTGTGCTTCTGTACAAACACATGTGCATACACCAGACACACACACACACATACACACACACCAAAAAGAAAAAAAAAATTTTGTTGCTCACAGCCCCTCCAAAATCTTGTGCCTATTTTCAGTCTATTGCTCATCTATTCCTAGCCCTAGGCAAGCACTGTCCCAGGCAAGCACTGTCATAGCTAATCTTTCTTTAATTATTATTCTGGTTTTATAGAAGATTGGCTTGACAAAGAGAGAAGTTAAATGATGTGTCTAATCCAGGCATGGTGGTTTGCCTGGCTCATATAATCCCAGCACTTGGGAGGGAAAAACAGGAGTTCTGGGCTACATAGTAAATTCCAGGCCAGCCTTAACTATGGAGTGAGAACCTGTCTCAAAACAAACAACAACAATGATAATAATAATAATAATAATAACAACAACAACAATCAGGAGCCTGGGGATGTAGCTCAGTTGGCACAGTGCTTGCCTAGCATGCAGAAAGCCCTGGGTACCATCCCTAGTACCATATAAAACTGGGCATGGTATCATATACCTGAGGAGTCAGGAAAGTCAGAAATTCAAGGATATCCTCCACTATATAACCAGTCTTGGATATATGAGATCTTGCCTTAAAAAAAAACTATGACAAACAACTTGTCTAAAATCTTACAACTAATAAATTATAAAATCAGAATGAAATTTAGGAGTCTTTCTCTCCAGTCTAAAACTTTTTCCACTAAAGGATAATGCCTTTCCTTCATTGCTATTTTTGTTTTGTTTTTCTTTCCCACTCTTTTTACATAATTCCCCAGTTCTAACTCACTGACTTGCCTCTCCTTCCTCAGAAAATGCTGAAGGATTTCCCTGAGTGTACACAAACTGTGTAGTAATTTGTCTCTAGAAACTCTTCCCTATGGCGGGGGCTCCTGGGGAGGTGCCAGGGAAGTGTGGGGCTTGGTACAGGTCAGTGACTTTAGGATTCCCTTTTTCCAGGCAGTCTTGGGGTGGGCCCCAGGAACTGTTCCTGCTTCTTTTCTGTCAAGTTGAGTGGAAATAGTGACTGAGATGATGAAGTCCAGGCCCGGAAGGGTGGAAGTGGGAAGGGTAAATTTAGTAACTCCATGGTTGAGGTCCTTGGAACCCACTGCCAGGGGCAGACACTCCTTGGAATGCTGGCTCCTGCCTCTACTTCCTCTGAAAGTCATCGGGAAAATGACTGGAAGAGAAAGTGGAGGGAAACCTGAAGAGTGGACATACACCAGTCTTCAAGCTCTTTCCTCACATCTCTCAGTGCCAAAAAACAGATGTCTGGGAAAGAGGGAAGGGTGGTGGTCTGTGGCCTAGATCTGAGTTCGAGGTTACACCTCTCATGACGGTTGTCATTTTTACACTGCTTTGTATTTCATGGAGTGTCATTTAGTATACTACTTGCATCTTCAAACAAATGTCTTTCAACTTAACAGCTTTATTGAGGTATAATAGGTAGGCAGAAGATTCAAGTCATGACTCTGAAATCTACTCCTGGTTCTAAGAGCCTAAACTTCCTGCAACAGACACCAAGCTAGTAAAGAGCTCCAGAGTCCTATACTCCCAGTAGAAATCACTATTGAGATTTTATTGCTATGGTGGCTGAGGTTGCTTTCTGAGAAAGAAAAGGTGTAGGAGTTGAGACAGAGATGATAGGAATAGATGGGTTTTACCTCTGCGTCACCTTTAAGAAAACATAATATTGAGACCCCAGGGAAAAGAGACAAAAAAGGAGAAGAGGGGAAGGAGTTGCAGTAGATCAGCCCTGGTGCCCACTGGGGGGCTCTCTGGCTACCAGTGTCCTGGGGTGGGAGGAGGCTTCTCCCCTTGGTAAATACTACCTGCTCTGTTTAAGACTCTAGATGACTGGATCTGGGGAGGGGTCTTTTGCTGCTAAGACCTGGGATCTGGGAAGCATAGAGCAAGAAAACAGACATGTAGGGCTGTTTGTGTTTGTGGTTTGCAGGGCCAGGACTGGGCTGCTGTGTTGTCTATGCTGTGGCTAGAAACGGGGGATGGAGTGTCACCTCTACTCCTACCTCTCCCAAGCTCTTTAGCTGTCTCTACTTTTCCTTTAGCCATCAGCATGCTGGGAATGACAGTGCCTGGTGTTAGTCTTGCCCTGAGAATCCTGCCACAGAACCCACTTCTCTCCCTCTTTAGCCCTGGCCTTCCTACCTCACCTGCTTTTTGCTGTGTCTCCAGGAGCTCTGGAGCCCTAGGATCATGGATACTGTCAATAGGAACCAGATAAGCCCTGGACATAAGACCCAGGCTGTGGTGCAGGTAAGTGGGGCTGGGGCCTTGGCATAAGAAGGCTCTTAGGGAGGATGGATTCAGCCCTTTTATCCATCAGTTGTTCAGGCCTGAGGATGAAAACAGCAGTCTGTTGCCTGTTGCCCTTCTCTGATCCCAGGTCTATTACCAGCTCAGTCTTGATCTGAATCAGGTTAATCGGTTCAGCATGAAACTCCTCTGTGAAAGTCAAAAGTCAGTTTACAGATTGTCTCTGGCAAGATCACTCTCCTGGTCCATACCTCCACCTTCCCTTGTAGTTGAGTTTAGTAGGGGCAAGATACAGGCATGTGGGTAGGTAGCCATGACAGGATCACCAGGAGCTAGACTAGCTTTGCTCTGCTGTGCCCCCTCCTGCTGGGTATAATGTCCCACCCCCACCCTCTCTTTGATTCTATTTTAATAGACAAAAAGGCCGGTTGAGCCAAGAGTTTAGATAAATCCAGTGGGGCGAGTTAGTGGCCTAGATTCAGATCTAATTACAATTTAGTAGAATAATGCTCTGCATAAGATTTTTGTGTTCAGCTTTTCAGCAACTTCAGAGCCACAAGGGCTGGAGGGAAGGCTGGTGTGACCAGGACTGGGGTGGTCATGTACTGAACTGGAGTCATGGTACTCACTCCCTACCTACACTACTTGCAGAAAGGCCCCCTGGACCTGATTGAGACAGGTAAAGGATTGAAAGTGCAGACGGACAAACCACATCTGGTGAGCCTGGGCAGCGGGAGACTTAGCACAGCAATCACTCTCCTGCCTCTGGAGGAAGGTAAGCCAAGAGCTGGCAGGGCATGCACCTGCCCCCCACCCCCACCCCCATCAGTACATGCATTCCTGCCCTGGAGGCTTGTGCCTGGGGGCCCTTCTACCTTGTGCAAGCAATGCTTGCCTTGTCTCTCCTCCCCCAACCCCCACCCTGGACTCTCTGCCTTCTTTAGCAGATAAACTGGCTCCATGACTGGGATTAAAGATCAGTTTAGAAACAAGGAGAGCCAAGGGAGAAAGAGAAGGCCATACTGATTGCTCTTAGCAACCTGTAAGGTCAAGAAGTGAAGGCCCTGGGTTCCAGGATGATGCCTGACATGGGACACTGAACTGTGGAGAATGAAGAGATGGAACTAGGGCATATCGCCCAAGGAGGCACTGGCATAGCTTCTGCCCACCCTTCTCCTCTCCTGGCTGCACCTGTTGCCTGGGTGATACTACATTCCCCACATTCTCCAAATGCCAGTCCCTGGGGCTCTATCAGGGAGGGATGGAGGGACAGGCTGCACTGGAGAGAGAGATGGGCAGAAGAGAGGGAAGGATGGAGGGAAGGAGCGGGTAGGGTACCAGAAGGAAGAAGAGGTTATTTTCTAGAAGAGAGTAGCAAGAAGGAAAACTGGGAGAAAGCATAGAAGGGGCGGTTGGGGAGCTGAGTGCAGTCTCCCTTCTCTACTACCAATGTGTCCGAGGTTTGGGGCCTCCCTCTGCGCCTTCTCATTTGGACACAGAGTTTTCTCTGCTTGAGAGCCTCTTTTACTTACACTCCCTATCAGGCTCAGGGGCCCACTAGGTATGGCCAGTAGTGAGCAGAGTCTCTGATAAGTAGGAAATAGAGTCAATTTCCACTGTAGCCCCCTTGCCCTCTCTCTGCCTTCTCAGCCTGGATGACCCTTCTGACTCAGTTTACCTCCTTTCTCCAGGGAGGACAGTTATTGGTTCTGCAGCCAGGGATATCTCACTCCAGGGTCCAGGCCTGGCTCCAGAGCACTGCTACATTGAGAATCAGAGGGGTACTCTTACCCTCTACCCTTGCGGCAATGCCTGCACTATTGATGGGCTCCCTGTCCGGCAGCCTACCCGGCTCACTCAGGGTAAGGTTTGATACCTCCACACCGACAAGGGGGGGGGTGAGTCTCTATTTCATAGCTTGTGCATGTTGAATGCAAGGGAAGTCAGCTGTGATGGTTGCCACGGTAACTGGCTGATCGGCCATACCCAGGTTGAGTTTGTATGTCAAAAGATCTCAAAAAACCTCCCAGCATCCAGACTCATCTTCAGTGTCCTTTTTCTTTAAAAAAAAAAAAAAAAAATCCTCATTCTGCGGCCAGACATGCCTTTAATCCGAGCACTCAGAAGGCAGAGGCAGGTGGATCTCTGAATTCAAGGCCAGCCTGGTCTACATAGTGAGTTCCAGGACAGCTGGGGCTACAGGGAGACCCTGCCTCAAAAACACCAAAAAAAAAAAAAATTCCTCACTTTGTCTTCATATACCACAGGGCGAGAAGAGGTTTTGATTCCTGCTGTCAGAGGGCCTAGGTGCAATGTGGGTGTTAGGAGTTACAGCAAGTGAAACAGCAGCAAGAAAAGGATCAATTATGATCTATGATGCCAAGAAGGAGTTGTTTGGAGATGCTGTAGAGGAGGAAATCCCCTGTGGACAGAACAAAGGCAAACTCTGATGGCAAAATCTGAGGACATACCTGCTCCTGCGCAAGACTGTTGACAGTAGCTTTAGAGTCATAGATGTGACAGCCCTTTGTTTCCTAAAGCTCCAGACTGTTCTTTTGGATAAGGGAGGCCCTTGTGTATAAAGGCTCCTAATCGCTATGGTTACCTGGCAGGTAAGGGTTGGCCAGGTATTTTGAATAGGCCACATATATTCACCCTGGAAACAGGCTCTAGGCATCATCAATTCGTAGAGTGAGTCTTCTGACTTAGGGGGGCAGTGAGAAAAGCAGATGTGTCGGGGGATGTGTGTGGGGGTGTCAGAGGTGAAGGTCATATAAGGATGGGGCTTGGGGCTGAGCCTGACTGAGCAAAAGGGCTGATGACGGCATTGTTTTCTGGGCACTCTCACTGGATGGAAGCCCCTTTGCAGGGGAAATTCCACTCACTCTATTGTCTCCCAAGCTCCTTCTGTTCACAACTCCCAGGCCCCTTAAGTGCTACTTCCTTTCCATCTGACATAGGAACTGACTAGGCCCCACTCCTTCCTTCTGCCCACTGGTTGGCACAGAGCATAGATAACCTGTTCAGGGAGGCAGGTCCTCCAGCAGCCAAGGACAGACTTGCCTCCTTCTCAGATTCAGAGTATCTTACTGGATGAAAAGAACCCCCATAAGCAGGCTTTGGTTGTAATGCCATCTTGTTCCTCACAGTCCTGTTCAGGGTCAGAGAGAGCATCTGTTCCAGGATTCAGGTGTATGCAGATTAGACACAGGGCAGGAAGGCGAGATGGGATGAAGTTCAAAGATCTCCCAGCCCCTACCTCATGCCTCATATCCCCCAATCCCATTACTTCCTTGGGTAAAAGTGTTCTTGCCCTATGAATTGGGAGCGGGGTGGAGACATCAGTGCTCAGCATTCCATCCTCCCAGGGCATCATTTAGCTCTTGAGGATTTAGTGTTTTGCTCCTGAGGCCATGATGGAATTCTTGAGCATTTCCTGTGACCCTAGTGACCTCCTCTTTCCCCAGCAAGAAGCCCATCTTGCCAAGTATGTACTCTCCCACTCCCTTCTGACCCTAAACTCCTTTTACTACCCCCACCCCCCACAGCCTTCTTGTCTGGGCTAGCCTGTCTCCAAAGCTTGGCAGGGTAGGCAGAGGCACAAAGGAATGGGTGTTCTTCTTTCCAGCCCTCCCCCTCCCCTGGGCTCCAGGAGCTGAGGGTTTCCTTGTCTCATCTCTGGAGCAAGGCACCAAGCCCAGCCCTGCCTGGCCCCACTCCGGACATTCTTGGGAGTGCGTTTCCTTGGAGACTGGGTGGTGCGGAGGTGCATGTGATATCTGTGTGTCTATGTAACTGGAGTATGTTTATCTGTCTCTGGATGTTTGTGTCTCTGGGCTTGTGTATCTTGGTGTTTGTTTGTGTTTCCTTGTGTTTATAGATCAGTCTGTTCAAATGGGTGGCGGGTGAACCTAGGACTAGTGGTACCAAAATGTCTATGTGTGTATTATCCTGTATATATGAGAAATCACTAGTATGTCATGTGTACAAGAGGACCACTTAGGACTGGGAGTGTAGCTCAGTGGTAGGCCACTTGTCTAGCATGCACAAGACTCTGGGTTCAATTCCCAGCACACACACACACACACACACTGAAAGGCCATTTTCCTGTCTTATTGTCTAGTTTAACCTTATATTGGGACCCTCTTTGAGAAGTAAAGGGATATCTTGGGAATAACAAGAAGCCTTCTCTGACTGGGGCAAGCCTTAGAAGAAGCATCATTCTGGGCACTGTGCCCAGCCATAGGCAACTTGGAATGACACACTTCATGACAAGCAGAGATGGCAGTGACAGGCTCTTCTTGCAGAAATATGCTTGGGCCAAGGGAGGAGGAGGAAGCCAGAAAGCAAATACCAACCTTTAACCTAGAGAAATGAACATATGAGGGAGCTACCCTGTACCCAGGCATCTTGGCACATCCCATGCAGCCCTCTTCTCCACAGAGCAAAGGGTGGAGCTGGGAGTAGGACCAAGGAAATGGGGTGGTAGCTTAATCTAGGGTCTAGGCTGCCCCACCCTGGGACCGCAGCACCAAACCACATAAAAGATATGGGAGGGGACTAAAGAAGAGGGGCCCCAGAAAGCCACATAGCTCAGGACCCAGGCTGTCTAGACAGTAGACACTTCCATCTTGTACTGCCACTATCTAAGTGTCCTTTACTTCTTAAGCTCCGGTTGGTGGATAGGAGTTCCTATGGAGCCAGGATTTCTGGGGTTCCCACTGCTATTCTGGGATCCAGGACATGGGCCTCTCCCTCTCCCAGCCAGCCCGTTGTTACTCCTTCTGCGAAGGTTATGTTATTCCTTCTGCGAACCAGGAGGGAAGCCTCTGAGCTTTCTCTGTTAGAAGACTGATAATGATCTTGACTAATAAAGCTCAAGGGAAGGAGAGCAACAGTGAAGGTTGGAGCTCCCAGCTTCCTGCTGTTTCTCCCTGGCTGCATCCTCCCTGTCTGCCTGGGTCTGTCCAGCTGGCCATCACAGTTTCCAGACTGATGAATCACTCTTCCTGGGGAGGTTTTGTTTTCTAAAGCCTCCCTTCATTTTACATTTGACCCTATATGGGTCTTCCTTTTTTTCCTTCAGAAGGGGAATAAGTTTCCTTTCGTGTGTGTGTGTGTGTGTGTGTGTGTATGTGTGTGTGTGTGATATGTGTATATGTGTGTTTGTGTGTGTAGTATGGTAGTGAATGTGTGAGGCAGTGACTTATTCAAAAAGGATGGAAAAATTCATTATTTCTCTTAAGGAAACTGATCTTTAAAAATTTTTAATTTATTATTATTTTTTATGTGTATGAGTGTATTGCCTGCATGTATGTGAGTGCACCCGTGTTGTGCAATGCCATGGAGGTCAGAAGAGGCCTTTAGATTCCCCTGGAACTGGAGTTAATGATGGTTCGTAGCTGCCATATGGGTGCTGGGAATCGAACTTGGGTCCTCTGCAAGAGCAGTCAGTGCTCTTAACCCCTGAGCCATCTCTCCAGCCCCAGAAACTGATTTTTTATTTCAGAGTTTCTTCAGGGGCGTGAATGAAAGGCTAGATATGCTGGGGACATGTACATGTGACAATAACTGTGACAGAGTGTGTATAATGAGGGTGTTTGTGTGACTCAGGTGTGCCTGGCTGAGGTAGTATCAGTATGACTGGGCAATGTTGGTGTGCATTGGAGATGACACTGTGGAGCTGTGTGGTCTTCTGAGCACATAATGTGTGCAAGAAAGAGAAAATGTGGTGTGTCCTGTGAGGTTCTGGTGTTCAGAGCCACATCCCTGGGATAAGAGCAACTCTCTGGGCCTCAGACAGATAGTATGTACCAGTCTGACTTATAATGCCTGCCTGATTCTGGGGGCTCCAAATAGAAAGGAACCTAATGGGGTGGGTTTGATCTTTGCTGGAGCTACCATAACTAGAGGTTGTGGCTAAGAGAAGAGAGTTGGCTCGAGGACCCAGGAAGTGGGCTGGCTCCGATGGGACAGTGGGTTAGCTCTGGTGGGTGAGGGCTAGAAGAAAAGGCATTTAGGGTGGTGACAGGAGCTGGGCTCAGTGTTGCTTGTACTGCACAGAGCACCACCTTGGCCTGAGTTCCCAGCCCAGGGTGACCTTGTCACAGTGTTGGTCTGAGGGCCAGAGCTGAACCTAGTGACCCTAACTGGATCCCATGCCCCCCCCATACTTCTCTCCCTCATATACGGAGTCATAGAATGCCCACTGCCTCATTGAGACCATGCTCCTTATTAGTGGATAAGGAGTCCCAGGCCACCAGGCCTTTTGGTGTGACTGCCCTAAGGTGACAGCCCCAGACACTCACCTCCTACCCCAGAGGGTCCCTGGGCTAGACCAGAGCTTGGTGTCATTCCTGCTTTTGGCTTTCCACTCTCAGGTCGCTGTTTACCTCTCACCTTAACTTCCGGCACCACCTCCGGGTGTGTGTGTGGGGGGGGACCGCTCCTGTCTGCCCACTCTCCCTCCTGCCCCTAGCAGGGATTCCTGGCCAGTCGCCTGGCGGCATCCTCCTGCCCGCCCCGCCCTCTCCATCCAGCTCCACATTGCTCTCCTCCATCACTTCCTTTTCCCCTCCTCCTCGCCTTTGTCCCTCCCTCCCTGGCTCCCTTCCCCCGCTGCTGGTGGCCGGCCCGCCCCTCCCCGGGCATTGGCGGCTGCTCGCTGCCTGGCTGCTCCTTAGAGCCAGGAGCCCGCGGAGCGGGAGGTCGGCCCGCCCCCTCAAAGGCCCAGGGCCGGCCGGCGACCTGCAGGGCTGGGGCTAGCGGGGATGAGAGGTCCGGAGGTCCCGGTTCTGCGGTGAGTCCTGAGCCCGGCCAGCCACTGCCCCAGGCAGCCCGGCTGAGAAGATCGGGCAGGGAGGGGCGTCTTGGGGAGAGTGGGTGCTAGGAGGGGGATGGAGTCCTTGCCCCTCTTTGGGAGCTTGAGACTGTGAGGCTGATGGTGTGTGTACCCAGAGCGTTTTCGAGAGGGGGGTCTGAGTTTTGGAGTGGTTGTGAAGACCTGATCTTCCCCACTGCTGGGTAGTCGGCTCCTGGGACCCGCCTCCAGAGGTGTTTTAGGGGTCCTGCTTAGGTTCAGGGGAGCCTGTGTTATGGCCAAGAGGGGTATCTGGTGGGAAGAGCTAAGGTTCTTTCTCCCATCCTCTTCTCACCCAGCTCCTCTTTGGCCATTCCCTCTATTTGTGTGACCAGCAGGGTAGTGACTATCACTCTGAGTGTGCCGGCATGTCTGCTCATATGAGCCTGTATGGTTTCTGAATGTCTGGAGTGTGAGTCTGCGTGGGGTGTTTCCCTTCTGCATCTCTCACAAACAGGATCCACCCTCTCCTTTGCCCAGTGTTTCCTCCCCAGGCATGTAACTCCTCCATCCACCAGCACACAGCTGGACCCTTGTGGACCCCCGGACCCCCCAGGGAGAAGGAGGCAGGAACCATGACCCTGGCTAAATGGTCAGGGGTTCCTGGGCTTCTAGAGAGGGCGGGTCCTGGGGTTGTGGCACATAAGAGGGGGCTTCCTAACATAAACTGCCGGCCAGTTCTCTGGGGTCCCTAGGTACTAGAGCTAGAGCAATTCCTGGGGCCCCTGAGTACAAATAGAAAGTTAATTTGGGCTGGAGCTGGTCTGCTCTCTGTCCCGCTGCCCTCCTGCCCACTCTATTAATACAGCTTCAGCTTCAGTGCCTGGCACCACTATTTATAGCCCAGAGCAGCATGGTCACACACCCCCTGTGGGGGAAGGGCAGGACAGTGACCTCCAGGATATAGGGGCCAAGGTAAAGGGTCCCTAGATAACCCACAGTCTTCTTGGGTGGGTCTGGTACTAATGGGATGGAATCTACCCCAATTCCCTACCTGCTTCCCAGCTTGGACTATGTGGTCAGCCTCAGCCCCTTGCCCCCATCACCCTAGAGTTGAGTGGATCTGTCTAGACCCTTCACACTCACCATTAATTAGCTTGTTAAATGGCTGAAAGGAAAGAGGGGAGCCTGGCTTTTTTCTGTAATAGCTGTGGTTGTAATTAGGTGGATGGAGTGGTTGATTGTTATTTATCTCAGTTATGATTACTATGGGATCAGCTCTTTTGATTGGTGGCTCGGCAGGGCAGGTTTCCCCTGTCTCCCAACCACCCATCAGCCTTTAGAACTGTTGGTGCCACCTGCCTGGGAGGGCCTTGGATGTGCCAAAGTATCAGGTGGCTTTGTCCACTATGGTTTTCTGCTATGGGCTTCTTAAACTACTAGCCCCAACTGTAAGGCAGTGTCCAGGGTCACAGGAACAGGTCCCTGAGCTCAGGAGGGGTCCTTCCAAAGTACCCACACAGTCTGGGATGCCCCTTGCCCTTGTGGCCTGCCTGAACTGAACTGTCTCAACGTCCAGGAATGTAGACTTCCCTGCCAGTCTTAGCTCAGGTCAGGTTGGCATGAAGCATGGGGCACCAAGTGGCACCAGATTGGGTAGCCAGGAGGTTGGGACTCGGGGTGTGGAAGGCTAAGTGGTAGAGAGCCCTAGGGCTCTGGCTTCTCCCAGCACAGCATCTTCTGCAAGAGCTCTGGAGCACCAGGCATGGCCAGGAGGAGGAATTCTGCCAGCCAGGGTTAGGCGCCTGTGGGCACACCTGCTGCTCTACACACTCCCGAGCCCCTGGCTACATTTTCTGGCACCCACACACCAGCCCCTTCCATGTACTCGTACTTCCTGGGCAGGACTGGGCTTGTGCCTATTGCCTGAGAATGTGCTTGGCTGAAGCTCGGCCTAGTGGCTTAGGCCTAGCTGGATTCTAGGAGGGATGGGAAACAGTTAAGGGTGTTTTGTCAGAAAGAAAGAGTGGCGATAGCTCTTTAGACACTGAGAGAAGGTGGTAGCCCTCCTAAAGTCATACTACAGGAAGGAATTGGAGCCAATTCTGAGCACCACTAGGGAATAATCTGTGGTTTCCTGTGTCCCCTTATATATCATAATTAATGACAGGGTTTCACTGTGTAGTCCTGAAACTCACTATATAGACCAGGCTGGCTTCAAAATTACAGAGACCCTCCCACCTCTGGTTCCCAAGTGTGGGGATTAAAGGCATACACTACCATACCTGGCTTCATCATGGGTCTGTGTGTCCCTGGAAGATGCTGCCTCTCAAACTAACCCTTTTACTCAAGGGGCAGTTCAGTGTATCATGGGTGCACATTGGGGTTGAGAGTTCCTTATTTCTGAAGACATTTTTCCATTTCTAATTTACATACATGGTCTTATTAATCCTGTAATATCAGTGATACTGATTGTCCCATTTTTATGATGTGAGAGCTAGCCTTGAAGGTGAAATGACTTGAAGGTGAAGATTTCACAACTAGGAAGGAGCTCAGAGGACTCTAATCTTGGGATTCACCTCCCAGTGTTCTTTCCCACTCTGACCCATGCTGTAGAGCCTGGGCTCTATCTCTGGGACAGGCAGAGACAGATGTGTATTGTGTGGACACTGAGGGCACAGGTAGAAATGGCACTTTGGAGCTGAGGGTAAGCCTACAAGTGCGGTGGCCTGGGGTGGCTTTGGCCCTGCCTGCCCCTTCTAAGTGATTACTTTCTCTGTAGGCTGCATGTTGTGTCTGGGTCAATCTACCTTCCTGCGCTTTAACCACCCAGCTGAAGCCAAGTGGATGAAAAGCATGATTCCAGCAGGGGGCCGGGTCCCTGGGCCCCCCTACAGCTCTGGCTCTGGTAGGTATCCAGCTGGGACAGGGGATTGGGTAGGTGACACCTCTTAGATATGTGTCCTTGCCCACTCCAACCACTCTTGGAGTGTTAGGGCAGGACAATACCTATAGCCTGGGCTCAGTGCTACCTACCATGGGCTGGTGGAGAATGCCAGGCAGTAGGGCCACTGGAAGAGATCCAAGGCAGGTCTGTTTGGCTCAAATTGGGCAATCATGTGCCTCAAGGGGTAGAGGGTTCCACCAGCCTGGAGCCCTGCTGCTCTGGAAGATGTCATTCAGTGTTCATGACCCTGGCCCTCTTGTGTCATCACCAGGGCACCTCACTTGAGGGGGGCCTGAGTATTATATTGAACCCTTAGTAGCCTCTGATATGTCCCATCTGCTAGTGATCATGTCCTTGGGCACTGCCCAACCCTCAGGCCATGCCATGCTGGCCTATGAGTCAGAGGAACAGCTGCAGCTTGTATGTGAATTATTGATCCCTAGAGGAGAATTGGTGATTGTTCTAGAGAAACTAACACAGGCCCCTCAGTCAGCTGCCTGGGGGTAGGGAGCAGATGAGGAAAATGACAATGTATCTACCACCCCAGGCTCTGCACTGGCATTCAGATGGCTGTGGGATGACAGGTGTCAATACCAGTGCTGGTGCTGGGGCAGGTGAACATATGTGTTAGGTTTACCTAATGGGATGGCTGGTTATTAGTGGCCTACATATATAATCTGGGGACCTGAAGAAAGAATGGTCACTAGGATTGCTGGAATCGCATGGCAACCCATCTGACGATGCACAACATAGATCCATACTCAGTCTTGCAAAGCCTTTCTTCTCTCCCCACTCCTATCTCTCCCAGTCCCCTGGGCTGGATGAACCCCCACCCCAGCTTTCTCATGTTCCTTCCTCAGCTGTTGGGGCAGCGGTTCTAGGAACTCCAAATTCCTGATTGGTTGACAAGGGCTAAGGCCAGGCAAAGGCAGGCTCTTGCTGGCATGGCTTAATGGGATAATTGGAAACACTGAGCTGTACCTTGAGGCTGGCCAGTCAGGCTTCCAGAACAAGCCATTAACAGATCCCTCTTCTATCCTGGATTGAATAAACCCATGCAGCATACATCATTCACCCCTCATCCATCCCTGCAGCACTCCTTCCCCATTCCCCCTGGCCTCTGACACTGATATCCTATTAGACTAAGAGGCTCTGGAACTTCTGGCCAGCTCCACAGATGTCTCCATTGCCTTTGAGTATACTCCTTGTTTTTCTTGAAAGACACAGAAAGTTGGGAAAACCAAGGCATGGAGGACGATAGTGTTGGGGGGAGTTGGCCATAACCAGGCCTGTGCCAGAACCCACCTCTCCTGGCTTCTTGTCCAGAACATTCATGATCCCATTGCCCTAGGGAGAGGTGGCCTGGTGCTCACTCTTATGCACCCCCGAGTGACTCCCCAAAGTGAAAGAACAGAGCCTGAGGAGTCTTTGCATTTCTCCACAGCTGAATCAGAAAGCCTGGTGAATGGGAACCACACACCACAGCCTGCAACTCGGGGACCTCCAGCCTGTGCCAGCCACAGTTCCCTAGTGAGCTCTATTGAGAAGGACCTACAGGAAATCATGGACTCACTGGTGCTAGAGGAGCCTGGAGCCGCTGGCAAGAAGCCTGCAGCCACATCCCCACTGTCACCAATGGCTAATGGTGGGCGCTACCTGTTGTCTCCCCCAGCCAGCCCAGGTGCCATGTCTGTGGGCTCCAGCTATGAGAATACCTCTCCTGCCTTCTCTCCGCTTTCCTCACCAGCCAGCAGCGGAAGCTGTGCCAGCCACTCACCTAGCGGGCAGGAGCCAGGACCTTCTGTGCCTCCACTGGTGCCTGCCCGTTCCTCCAGCTACCATCTGGCCCTGCAGCCTCCGCAATCTCGCCCAAGTGGTACCCGTTCCTCTGAAAGCCCCCGGCTGGGCAGGAAAGGAAGTCATGAAAGACCTCCCAGCCCTGGTCTCCGAGGTCTACTGACTGACAGTCCAGCGGCCACAGTCTTGGCTGAGGCCCGCAGAACCACTGAGAGCCCCCGGCTAGGTGGGCAGTTGCCCATGGTGGCAATCAGCCTGAGTGAATATCCAGCTTCTGCTGCCCGCAGCCAACCCTCCAGCATCCCTGGCAGCCCCAAGTTCCAGTCTCCAGTACCTGCTCCCCGAAACAAGATTGGTACACTCCAGGACCGCCCTCCCAGCCCTTTCCGTGAACCTCCAGGCACTGATCGGGTGTTAACAACCAGCCCCTCTAGACAACTGGTAGGCCGAACATTTTCAGATGGGTCAGCCACTCGTAACCTGCAGCCTCCCGAGAGCCCCTGCCTGGGTCGTCGGGGCCTGGACAGTATGCGAGAACTCCCTCCCTTGAGCCCATCCCTTTCTCGAAGGGCTCTGTCCCCACTGCCAGCCCGGACCACCCCGGATCCCAAGCTAACCAGGGAAGTGGCAGAGAGTCCCCGGCCCCGTCGCTGGGCAGCCCATGGGGCTTCACCAGAGGACTTCTCCTTGACTCTAGGAACAAGGGGCCGCAGGACTCGGAGCCCCTCACCCACACTTGGGGAGTCCCTGGCACCCCGGAAGGGCAGCTTTAGTGGCAGGCTGAGCCCAGCCTACAGTCTGGGCTCTCTTACTGGGGCTTCACCTCGCCAGAGCCCCCGAACCCAGAGGAAGCTTTCTAGTGGGGACTTGCGGGTACCCATCTCAAGGGAGCGGAAAAATAGCATCACAGAGATCAGTGACAATGAAGATGAACTCTTGGAATACCACCGGCGGCAGCGCCAGGAGCGACTCCGAGAACAGGAGATGGAAAGGCTGGTGAGTGGATGCCAGGGAGGCTGCCACTGTCCAAGGCAGGGCCTCTGCCAGGGTGTGGGCAGGCCAGCTGGCAGAGCAGGGGAGGCTGTGCTCCGGGCCTGAGCTTCTTCAGGATATGCCATCAGGATGCAAGACCAGTATCTATCATGGTCTCGGTGTCTTTAAGAGGAACTTTCTTTGAAATCCTAAGGCTTTATTTTACTTATTTACTTATTTTTGTATGTATGTGTGCATATGTGCATGTGTATGCATGTCTATATCTTTGTGTAAGCCAGAGGTCAATGGCAAGACTCTTCCTCAATCACTCTTCACCTTATTTAATTAAATTAAATTAATTCATTAATTTAGACAGGGTCTCTAGTATCCCAGCTGGCCTAGAGCTTACTGTGTAGACCAGGCTGGCCTTGATCTTACAGAAGAGATCTGCCTGCCTCTGCCTCCAGAGTCCTGGGATTAAAGGTGTGTACTACCACACCCAGCTCACCTTATTTTTTTGAGATAGAGTCTCACTGAACTTGGGGCACACTGATTTGGCTAGACTGACTGACCAGCAACTCCCAAGGATCTTCCTGTCTCAGCCTTCCCAGCAGTGAGATTCCTACCTTTTTTGAGAGAAAAAAAAAATGGGTTCTGCCTAGATCCTGGTGCTTGCTCTTTAAAAAAAAAAAAATTATTATTATTGTGTGTATGTACAGGTATGTGCCATACCTTGTGTCTGGAGGTCAGAGGTCAACTTTTGTGAGGTTGTTCTTTCCTTCCACCTTTATTTTATGTGGGTGCTGGGGATCGAACTCAGGTGTCCAGGCTTGCATAGCAAGCACCTTTACCAGAAGTTTACTCTTTAGAAAAGCCCCTGACCCCACGTTCTTGCTTCTCTCTTGCCTCTACAAATGGGTGGGAGCTGCTTACCCTGGCCCAGATGGGTCATCTAAGAGTATGGTACTAGGGAGGAAGGGAAAACTGAGTGGGCAGCCCCTAGCCTGCCTGTGTGATTGTATGTATCTGCATGTATAAGTGTGGGTGCTGCAGGTCTGGGTGTGGTTCTGGGCAGCTGTCTTGGAAATGGCGTCTGAGCTGGGAGGGGGCCGGGATTCCCCAAATAGCACAGGGAGTTCCAGGGGCACTGGCTGCTGTGCACATGTGCCAACCCACATACAGGAACATGAAGTCCCCCTTCCTTTCCTTGAGAACAGAAACCTGGGGTTCTTGGGTATACTAGAACCCTCAGATTGGTTTGAGGAGGATTTTCTGGGAAGAAGCCAGATAGTTTTGGGTGAGGGAGGGAGTGGGGTAATGTGCTTGAGTCAGGTAGGAGGCAGGACCCTTAGTCTTTCTTTGTTCCATCTTATCACTGTTGTGCCTCACTTATCCTAGGGCCTCATCCTGAGAGGGGCAGTGAGCCCAGCAATAGTCAGTGCTGAGCCCAGCCTCTCTACCCCCATTCCCACACACAGGCACACACCTTACCACCAGTTCTGACCTGCCCCACCTGCCACTTTAAGTCAGAGGCTGCCCGCCCTGCCCCTCCCACCTTACTTAGCCAGGCTGCTTATCTAGGTCCTAGGGCGGGGGCGAGGCACTGGCCCAGCCTTCTGGGTGCTGAGGCTTGGTTCCTGGATTTTTTTGCCATAGACCTGGGCAAGCAGCAGGAAGGAAGCTGGGTAAGTGTTGTGGGATGGGGAGTTGTGGCCAAGATGTAGGTGGTAGGAGATACTTGAGGAGGTCAGGACCCTTAAAAATCACTGACAGGGTCAGGGATTGAAACTCAGGGCTTCCTAGGGTGTTACATGGATGAATGGGATGAAGGCCAGGAACATGACAGCCATTGGTCCCTCACCTCCTAGGCTCCTGAAAGGTGACCATTTCTGAGTCAGGCTGTATAGAGAGTATATAGATTAAGTGACAGGCTATGGAGCATTCATACCTGGCCAGCCTACCCTGGTGGTAAGGACCAAAGAGTTGACTGCCTGAAAGTGACTTGGAGCTGAGGTAGGACCCAATGACCCAGGTCTGCCTTTTCTCTGTGTGTGTCTGGACTGAGTGTCGGGTCCTGTGGGCCTGTGGTCTACTTTCCAGCCTTGTCTGTCTGTAGGTGCCCACCCAGCTTGTTTAGACTGTGTTTATCTGTGTGAGTACATGTCAGGACTGGTGGCTTTGTGTGTACCTGTCTGTTAATGCCGATGTATCTCCCATGACACAGTGTCTGTGTGTACCTATCAGTGTGTCAATGTGCCCTTGTGCCTGTAGGTCTGTGTCACCCAAGTTGCTCTATGTCCCACCATGATCTTTAGATTGCCTACCCTTGTGTGTTCTTGTATGTGTGTCCTTGTGTGACTATGAAGAAGCACCATCCCAGGGTGGAATGAGAAAGGAAAGCAAACAGTAAGATGGGAGTGGCTGGCCACATGGACAGGTGGCACACAGCCACATTCTCTTGCTCACCTTTGGGGCACCTTTTTTCCCCCTGTTTCCCACAGATCTTAAGGTTGAGGCTGTCCTAATGATGCTGAGCCCAGAGCCCTTAGTGTCCACCACACCCTGGTTCTGGCCACACTAGGTCTCAGACTCTGACCTCTGATATTCTGCTCTGTCTACCGTCCCCAGGAACGCCAGCGCCTGGAGACCATCCTGAACCTGTGTGCTGAGTACAGCCGAGCTGACGGGGGACCTGAGTCTGGGGAACTGCCCAGCATTGGAGAGGCCACTGCAGCATTGGCGTTGGCAGGCCGAAGGCCCTCAAGAGGCCTGGCGGGAGCCATTGTGGCCTCTGGGAGGAGCAGTGAGGAACCTGGAGGAGCCACCCAGCGCCTGTGGGAGAGCATGGAGCGCTCAGATGAGGAAAATCTCAAGGAAGAGTGCAGTAGCACAGAGAGCACCCAGCAGGAGGTGGGTAGATGAGGGGGTGAGACCAGGGGCTGGTGCCCAATGAGGAGGGAGTTATGGAAGGATCAAGTCTGGGAAGAGACCGGAGGTGTAGAACTGAGGAGGCAAGGAAGAGGAGGTGAAGAGGACTTTCCCAAGCTATAAATGTGCTTTATGGCTTGCCTTTCCTTGACCCCACCCAGGCTTGGCACTCCAGTAAATCTTTTCCCTGTAGCTGAGTTTCCCTGGCTGGGAGGAAATTAACCTCTTGTTTCAGTCTAGTTATCCCTTCCAAGTGCTTTGAGGACTAGATGATCTGGTCCCTTAGTCTGATCCTGAAAAGTTCTAGGCTTCTCCCACTGATGATTCCCCTTCCCTTCAGCACGAAGATGCCCCTAGTGCTAAGCTTCAGGGAGAGGTACTGGCTGTGGAAGAGGAGCGGGCTCAGGTGCTGGGGCGTGTGGAGCAGCTCAAGGTCGGAGTGAAGGAGTTGGAGCAGCAGCTTCAGGAGGCAGCCCGTGAGGTGAGCTGGCCAGGAGGGTGCTGGCGTCAGGATAGGTCCTGAATTCACTGCCTTGACTGGACTATGTTGTCTGTCCCCAGGCTGAAATGGAGCGGGCACTGCTGCAGGGAGAGAGGGAGGCAGAGCGAACATTGCTGCAGAAGGAACAGAGGGCAGTGGACCAGCTGCAGGAGAAGCTGGTGGCCTTGGAGACAGGCATCCAGAAGGAGAGGGACAAGGTAACCCACATCTACTACCAGCAGCCCAGACAAGAAGGAAAAATGCCTTCCCTGGGGCTCTATATCCCTTATCATCCACCCTGAATACCAAGTGGTCTCTGTGGCCCTCCAGGGACAGGGGACCTTGTCCTCTGTGGAAGGTACAAGCTTGGAGGGTGCTGCCAGGGGCTGGGCTGGTGTTTGTGGTCTCCTGTGTCTGGATCTCTGTGCTATCTCTGGGTGCCTGGGTGCCTGGCATTCTGGGCCCTTCTTGGTTCTTCTAGGAAATGCAAAAACCCCTTCTTGGGCAGTGAGCCTGAGGGACTGGTGCTGCTGGGGAGGGGGTGGTGATTCAAGTTTGTGACCCACTGTGGGGAGAAGTCCTCCTTCAAGCATGCCTCTGGTGCTTAGGATGTGGTCTTTGGGAGATGGCCCACAGGCCTCCACTTCCCGTCTTCAGGATCTGCAGCCTCTCATCCCAGATGGTCCCAGCTCCTGCCCCTGCCCCTTTCAGATTTCTGCCTGCAGGGACTGCTCCATCCCCCAGGGGTCGTACCAGCCATGTACAAGATGCCCAACAGCGTGCCAAAAGTTCTGAAGTGGAGAGGGTTCATCTATTTCTGGATTTGACAGTATTTTTCTAAGAAACTTAATTTTACTTTTAGATTTTTTGAAAGTTATTTTCCTTTTGTTCTCAGTTTTGAGAATTAAAAATTTGTTGCCCCGCCCCTTTTGGAGCTTTGGCTCTGGCCCCCAAAACCACACTCCCAGATTCTGTGCCAAATTAACTCTATGCTTGCCTACCAGGCCTGCACTAACGCCCTCTCTAATCACTGTCCTGGGCCCTCTGCATGCCCCTAACTGCCAGGCCACCCAGGCAGGGCTAAGCCACACCAGCTTTTGCACTAACTCCATCGGTGCCTTTGTGCCCCTGGCCTCTCCCCTCTAATGTTCCCTCCTTCTGTTCTTGATGTGGGACCCCATAATCAGAAAGAAACTGGCAGGAAGGCACAGCTAAACCTTACTCAGTGGGACATTGGGAGGAGGAGTATAAGGATGGGGTACGGGGTGCATGGCCAAAGATCTGTGTCTGATCAGCGCCTCCTACTGGAAAGGCCTGTGCTGCTGCCTCAAGGATGTTAGCAGCTTCCTGCAGGGCAGAGGTTGGGGGCTGAAGGCTATTTGGGGTTCACCTGTGGGGCCTTGGAGGGCTTGGACAGGGCCTTTCTACCTCCTTGAGTGGCTACCCATCTTTGCTTCCCTGAATTTAGATACCTCAAGCTGTGGGGAGAATGGATGCTCCCTTTCCTTCCTCCACTCTTGGAGGCCACAAAACACAGGGTATTTTCAGAGCAGTGTCCAAGGATGGGGAAGTGTCTGGACCTCAGGACCTGATCAAGGCCTTCCCTCTGGGCTGGGTAGGTTGGGTGGGTGAGAGGGCCAGGTGCAGCATAGGGGCTTACCCAGGGGATGAAGCTGGGTATTCCACAAGCAACCTAGCTAACCTCACTTAACTGAACTGGGCTCTCAGAGGCCTGGGCTTTGCCTTCCCTCTGGTCCAGTTTGAGGTGGTGATGGTGAAGGTGGTGGTGGTGGTGGTGGTAATGGCGATGGGAAGGTTCTCTTTGCTTTCCCTCCCAGCCCCCAGCTCATGGCCCTACTCTGGCGGTAATCATAGTTTCTCCTTTGCCTGTCCTTCGGAGGGTGACTCACCAACTCCTCCCCACGTCCCTGTCCCCTTTCCCGCCCTCAGAGGTGTCATCTCGCCCCAGACTGAACCATCCACCTCCTCCCTGTACCCACTCCTGGGGCTCCTATTACCATGGCAACGGCCGAACTAATTGCAACCCTCATCCCTACTGAAGTTTAGCCTGCTGGCACCCCACCCCCATTGTGGGCTGGAGGGAGGGAGGTCGTGGGGGGTTGGGATGGGGTCCCTTTTCCTGCACCGCTGTAACTCTAATATCTTCAGCTCCCAATTCACTCCCAAGTCCTGGATTTAACCCTTCCCGTCACTACCCTTTTCCCCAGGGTCAAATTTTGGTCTCGGGACAGTGGTAGAGCTTGAGGCTTGAGGCTCTGCATTTGCCATGTGGCATCAGCTTTGGCTCTGGTTTGGAGCGGAAACGGAAGGTCCTGTCTTAGGACCTATCCCGACGTTGCTGGAGACCAACGTTTCTACCCTGCCCCCAAGCCTGTGCCTTTGTCACACCATCGCTGCCTGAGTCCTGTCTTACACCTCTGCTCCTAGCCTCTCGCCTCTCCCCACGTACCCTCCCTCCTTCCCCTCCTGCTCTCGTCCAAGTCCGTGCTTGCCCCTCCCTTCCCGGTGCTCCCCTGAGTCCCCCCTGCCCCCCC